ACAGAGTGAGACTCCAACTCAAAAAAAAAAAAAAAACATATTAAAGAAGGCAATACAGAGAATGTTAGATGCTGAAAAGTCATTTATAATAAACATTTTATAGCAAATGGGAATAAAAGTAACAAAGGCCATTTACCAAAACCAAACAGAAAATGTTATTCTAAATAGCAAAATATATGCACCATTTCAAGTAAAATCATGGAGTAGAAGGAAAGCTTACTTTCATTGTTATTATTTAACAGTTTGTCATGTCACTAAATACATTCAATAAGATAATACATTCAATAAGATAATGAATGTAACTGGCTATAGACATTGGACAAAAACTAAAATCTGTCTCATAGGACTGATGATATGATTCAATATCCATAGAGAGTCTAGGGTAAAATTACTAGAATAAACAAGAGAATTTGGTAAAGTAGTTAGATTTAAGATGAATATACATAAACCAATAGCTTTTCTCTGTTCTGTTACTAATCACTTAGAAATGGAAATAGAGAAGCCGGGCTCAGTGGCTCAGCCTGTAATCCTGCGCCTTTGGGAGGGTGAGGTGAGTGGATTGCCTGAGCCCGCGGGTTCGAGACCTGCCTGGGCAGCGAGACCTCATCTCTACAATAAATAAAAAAAAATCAGCCGGGTGTGATAGCGCATGCCTGTAATTCCAGCTACTTGAAAGGCTGAGGCGGAAGGATCACCGGAGCCCAGCAGGTCGAGGCTGCGGTGGCCGGGAGCAGCCACTGCACTCCAGTCTGGGCGACAGAGTGAGACTCCAACTCAAAAAAAAAAAAAAAAGATGAATGCACTGACTAAATTATGGTACAACCATACCATGGAATCTTACATAGCCAGTAAAAAGAATGAATTAAGGCTTTGCCAATTGACTTGGAGAGGTGTTAACAAGTGAGAAATGTGTGTATAATTCCAATTTTGTAGAACAAATCATTACCAAGAAAACTTTTATTTGTGTGTGTGTATATAGTATTATACTGGGGCTGCCTAATTGAGGTAGGGGAGGAGGGGTTGATATGGAAGGAGGGCAGGGAGCCAAAAAGAAACAACAAAAAAACTGTAAAGTATGTATGGCATGACCACATTTAATATTAACATTGCCGGCCGGGCTTGGTGACTTAGTCTGTCATTCTAGCACTTCGGGAGGCCGAGGTGAGTGGACTGCCTGAGCCCAAGGGTTTGCAAGCAGCCAGGGCAACTTGGCAAGGCCTCATCTCTACAATCGAAAATTAGCTGGGCGTGGTCGGGTGTGTCTGTGGTTCCGGCTACTCGGAAGACTGAAGAGGAAGGATCGCTGGAGCTCAGCAGGTTGACGCTGGAGTGGCCTTGAGCGTGCCACAGCATTCCAGCCTGAGTGACAGAGTGAGACTCCGACTCAAAAAAAGAAAAACAAATTTTACATTGCCACTATATATGTACTGTGTTTAAATCTTTATCATACACATATAAAGAAGACAAAACAAAATTTCAAAATGAATGATTCCAATATTCAACTCAATAAGCAAAAATTGAACAACAAAATGAACCAAGGGAAATTAGAAGAAAGGAATGAACTAAAAAGCAGAAATGGGAAGAAATAAAGGACTGAGAAATCAACCCAGAAGGTGGTTCTTGACAAGACCAATAAAATCAAGAAACCTGGGGGGACACAATGTCTATAAGGGTAGCTGATCTAAGTCAGGAAAAGTGGGGACCCAAGGGAGGCCCACACTTTACTTGTATGATGACCACGTGCATACCTAACCCTGAATTGTACCCCACATCTTTCTTCTTTTGAACTGGAGTCTCACTCTATCGCTCAGGCTGTAGTGCAGTGGGCATGCTCATGGCCACCGTAGCCTTGACCTGCTGGGTTCAGGTGATCCTTCCATCTCAGCCTTCCAAGTAGCTGGATCCACAGACATGTGCCACCACGCCCAGCTAATTTTATTTTTTTGATTTATTGTAGACACGAGGGCTCACCAAGTTGCCCGTTCTGGTCTCGAACCCGTGGGCTCAGGTAATCCTCCCACACTGGCCTCCCAAAGTGGTGGCTCACATCTTTGATTCCAGCACCTTGGGAGGCTGAGGCAAGTGGAGTGCCTGAGCCCAGGGATTTGAGATCAGCCTGGGCAACCTGGTGAGACCTGGTCTCCCCAATAAATCAAAAAATTAGCCAGCTGTGGTGGTGAATGCCTGAAATTCCAGCTACTTGGAAGGCTGAGGCAGAAGGATCACCTGAGCCCAGCAGGTGGAGACTGTGGTGCCTGTGAGTGTGCCACTGCACTCCGGCCTGGGTGCCAGAGTGAGACTCCAACTCAAAAAAAATAAATTAATGATAATAATAATAATAATAATAATAATATATTCTTCCTAAATGCCCTAGAACCTCCCTAAAGATGAAAAGCTTCTGAAACCATGGCTAATATAATTCTTACAACAAAAGTCGGCAAAGATATAAAAAGCACACCACAGGCACACCTAAGAGATAGAGATTACACTTGCTTGTAATTAGACATCGGCTCTCATTGCCCTGATTCTCTTTATGGAAGCTTAGGTAGGTGGAGTGAAGTTTTGTCCTTGCCCCTTCACTGTCCCTCTACCCCACTTTCTAGATTTCAGAGTGGCAGCATGTGACAAAGAGAAGCAATGGGGAAAAAGAACAAAATATCCACTACTAGGTCAGATTTTTTTTTCAGTCAGTGCAGTGGCATGATCATAGCTCACTGCAGCTTCTAACTCCTAGGCTCCTGCCATCTTCCTGCCTCAGCCTCCTGAGTAGCTGGGACTATAGGTGCCACTAGGCCTGGCTAATTTTTTATTTTTCTTTGTTAGAGATGGGGGGGGTCTTGCTATGTTGCCCAGGCTGGCCTCAAGCAGTCCTCCCACCTCAGCCTCCCAAAGTCCTGGGATGACAGGTGTGAGCCACCACACCTGGCCTAGGTCAGATCTATGAAAAGAATTGGGAATTAGCATTAGCGTTAATTGCACAGATGCATGCACACCTTACCTGGAAATGTTTCTTCGGGGCTCAACTAGCATCACAACCATCCCAACCTGATGTCTGCACCTTCCTTCAACCAGAATCACATCCACACAATCCCAGCCTCTGCTCAGATCCTACAGAACATGCCTTTACCTTGTGTCCACATGCAGCTCACCGAGCAGGTCACTTTGCGTATAGTCCCAGGACAATTCCACGGTACCCAGGTAGTATCTTCTGGTGGCACTAAAGCTGAATCGCAAAAGGCACAGAAAGAAGCAGGTGGAGAGCTTTATTTGCATGATTTACTGCTAGAAAAAGTGCAACTGGAGAAGCAAAATATTAATTCTTTTCTCAAATTTCTTCAGCTCCCAGGAGAAAACAAACGCAAATTTTCTACGATTTAGTGGAAAGTCCCAAATTGGTTGCAGAGCATTTCAGGGAACGTTACCCACTGGATGCAACAGCAGAGTAACACTAAGCAGTAACTGATAGGATTGCTTCCTTTTTGGCAGTGGGAAGCGATCACAGGAAGAACTGAAGTAGGAAAAGGGAGGCTGAGTTAAAGCTTAACCCATTCACTTCTGAGAGCAGTAGGGGCATGAGAAGTCTGCTTTCATCAGAACTTTTAAAGAAAGGAAAAGAGAGAGGTCACAGGAAAGAGGAGCTCTAATCTGTGCTTATACTCAGCCTACTGCAACCCTCTCTCTTAGTAGCAACAGCAAGATACGCTCATCTCACTCTGCCTATACTGGCCATTTTGCTCTTCCTTAAGATACCAAGCACATCCATGCCCCTAAACCTCAACACTTGCTATTTCTTCTACCTGAAACACCTTTTCCCCAGAGATCTCCACATTTCCACTCCCACAACTCCTTCACATCTTGGCCCAAATCTTACCTGTTCAATGAGGTTTAAATATGGACCGCCACATTTCATTTTTGTCAGTAGCACTCATAGCCACTTGGCATTTATGTATGTATTTGTTTTGTGCTATTGTTGCCTTACGCTTTTTTAGATTGTTTACATTTGGTCCAGGTATAGGCTATATCTCCTTACATCAAAATGTAGCCATGCTTGGAATTGGAGAACATCATCCTAAGTGAACCAACACAGGAACAGAAAACGAAACACCACATGGTCTCACTGATAACTGGGAGCTAAATTAAGGGTCTGCAAAGGCATAGAGAATGGTATAATGGACATTGGAGACTCAGAAGGGGGAGGGTGGGAAGGGGTGGAGGGATGAAAAATCACCTGTCTGGTACAATGCGCACAGGTGAGAGTGGTGGGTACACTTAAAACCCAGACTTCTTTGCCACTATACAATTCATCCATGTAACCAAAAACGATTTGCATCGCTAAAAGATACTGAAATAAAAATAAAAAAGAACAAAACAAAAATGTAATTCAATAGATTGTGGTCCACTATTAAATGACACCTGCTGTAGCATTTATTAAAAGTATTTCAAGTCGGGCTCGGTGGCTCAGCCTGTAATCCCGCGCCTTTGGGAGGCCGAGGTGAGTGAATTGCCTGAGCCCGCGGGTTTGACACCCGGCTGGGCAACTTGGCAAGACCTCATCTCTACAATAAATCAAAAAATCAGCCGGGCGTGGTAGCGCGTGCCTGTAATTCCGGCTACTCGGAAGGCTGAGGCGGAAGGATCGCCGGAGCCCAGCAGGTCGAGGCTGCGGTGGCCGGGAGCGGCCATTGCACTCCAGTCTGGGCGACAGACTGAGACTACAACTCAAAAAAATAAATAAATAAATAAAATAAAAAGTATTTCAAAAACACATATATACACTTAATTACTTCTGGTTTTAGTATTCCACACCTTTTTAAGACAAATTATCCACAAAGTTTTTTTCAAGTTTAATATTCAGTTAGTGTATACAAGTTGATAGATAATATATTTATCTAAATGTAAGAGCAATTAATTCCTGTACCTTATATTTTAGTGTGATTTTATTACATATAACACATGAAATCTTCCATTGGCAATATTTGATTTAATAAACATGAAATTGTTTTAATAAAAAAAATGTAGCCATGCTGAGCTCAGAGACCCTACTCAAGTTAATGTATATTATATTGGGGGACTGAGACCCTCAAGAGCCTTAAAGTGTAGGTACTAATAAGAAACTTGACTAGGGTTGCTATAAGAAATGTTACCATTGACTCCAGCTCTGTACAGATGAGAATATGTTAGGGGGAAATTTGTGATATGTTATCTAGCTTGGAAACAAGCAGGAAGAAGCCCCTCTGACAAACATTTGCTGAGATCTCTTTTCTGCCAGGCACCAGGATGCAGAGATAATAGCTGGCACTCACTATATGTCAGGAACTGTTCTAAGTGCTTTCTAATACAGTTGCTATTCTTGCCTTCATTTTATGGGTGATGAAACTGAAGCATGGAAAGGTAGCACTCAAACCCATGTAATCTGGCTCCAGAATTCAGGCTTCTAACCAGTATGCTATAGTTCTCTGCCTCAGAAATGAAGAAAACCCAGTTCCTGGCCCCATGGGAATCACTCCATTGGGGGAGATGGAAGACTAGATAGTAACAGAAAAGAGCGACAGCTTCTGTGCCAGCTACTTCACACACACTCTCTAATTTATTATCTATCTATCTATCTATCTATCTATCTATCTATCTATCTATCTATCTATCTATCGAGCTGGAGTCTCACTCTGTCGCCCAGGCGGGAGTGCAGTGTTGGAACTACAGGCGAGCGCTACCACGCCTGGCTAATTTTTTATTTATTGTAGGGACGAGGTCTTGCCAAGTTGCCCTGCCTGGTCTCGAACTGGAGGGCTCCGGAACTCTTCTTGCCTCGGCCTCCCAAAGTGCTAGGATTACAGACTGAACCACTGAGACTGGCCTCACACTGTCTGATTTAATCTTCATGACAACACTGCAAAGTGAGTACAGATAAAGCAACTGAGTTACAGAGAGCTTAAATGGCTTGCCTAGGGCCACACAACTACCCATTTGTCCTCGATAGACATTGTCATAGGGACTAAGTGCACAGCAGTAAAAAATATAGAGAACTGAAAACGGGACAATAAGCAACAATTATATGAGTGCATTCTACAAAATGTTAGAAGATACACATACTGTGCAAAAAAAGCAAGCAGGGTAAAGGGGAATAGGCATGTACCAGGTTGCGATTTTAGAAGGAGTTGGTCATGGAAAGTCTCACCGAGGTTACATTTCAGCAAAGAGGCTTTGCTTCTACAGTGAGGGCAATAGGGAACCATAGTAGGGTTCTGGGTAGAGGAGGACCATGATCTGAACGATCTATTAGACTGATCTTTTTGTACACATTGCAAAAAACAAACTTTAGGGGGTTAGAAGCAGGGAGACATGGCAACTGCGGGGGGCGGGGGCAAATGGCATTGGATTGGCTCTGATGGTATCACGGGGTGGGGGGTGAAAAACGGCTGGATTCATTGTGAAGGTACGGGAACTGCTGATGAATTTTGGGTTTGTGGGTTTGGAGGGGGGAAATGTGGAACAACGCCATCACTTACGGGGATCGCAATGTCTTAAAAATGTGTTTTCCTTTACCAAAACAGGCTCGGGCGCATGGCCGGAGCCAGTAAATATGTGCTCAGTGTTCACGCTAGCAAACACGGCCAGGCAGCCGACTTTCTTTTCGGCGAAATCCTGGGGTAAAGTCATCTTAATCAGGGGAGGGCGGGGGCTCGGCGGCGCCTGGGTCACTCGCTTCCGGCAAGCAGCGAAAGCCAGCGACGGCGCCGGGGGGTGGGGCCTGGGCGGGTCGTGCCTCTGCGCACGCGCGACTCGGCGCGTCGGCGGGCGGGGCCGTGGGACTTGTGACGCCGCCGGCTGCGGCTTGTGACGCGGCGGCCTGCGGGGACGGAAGCGGCCGCCCCGCCCCGGCCCGCCCTCTTCCGCTGCTGGCCGTGGGAATGGAAACATCTGCCCCACGTGCCGGAAGCCACCTGGTGGCGAAGGCCGCGCGCCTCCCCGCGTCCTCCCGCGCCGAGCCTCCGCGCGTGTCCTCGCGAGACCAGCTCACCGACATGGCCGCGTCCAGTCAAGGTAAGGGCGGCCGCGCGCGTGGCCGGAGCCGTGGCGAGCCGCCTGCCTGGGCTCCGGAAAGAAAGGGCTCGCGTCTGGCGGTCCCGGCCGAGCTCCCTGGGGAGCCCGGGCGGCGTGGGGACGTGGAGGGTGCCCGGGGCTCGCCCCTGGCCCGGCTGCTCCCAGGGTCCGGTCAAGGTCACGCGCCGGGCTGTGGCCGAACCACCCAGGCGAGCGACCAGCCTCCGGCGCCGCCCCTCCTGCTACAGCCCGGAGACATTCCGTCCCTGTTCTCGGAAGCGGTCTGGCTCCTGAGGCCAGCCTCTTTGTCCCTTGGGACGTTCCTCCCAGACGGCTCGCTGGCGACATCCAGTGTGGCAGGCGCCTCCCCGTTTTGAGTTGTTGGTGGCTTGAAAAGCCAGCCGACGGGGATGGTACCTAGAAATAGTCTTTTGTTTAGTCAGCGTAGTCAAGGGAAGGTTCCCTATAGAGCCATTCGCAATGGAGCACGTTATGAACTTACGTTTCTTTCTCTATTTTGCACGCTTAGGTTTTATTTAATTCAGTACCGGCTCACAGAATCCTGTTGCTAAACTGAGCTATCATCTAAAATTCAGTTGTTTAAACTTAAGCTATGTTAAAAACAAAGGCAGTGAAAATACTCGAACCTCATCACTTCTTTATTAATTACCATGTTTTATTTACCTGTGCTCTTGAGGTTATTTACATTCCGTCCCCATCTGTGTTGGGGACATACCATAATGTGGTGTCCTGCATCTCTTCCCAACTCTGGGTTCAGTGATGTCACAATTCAGTGATGTCACGCTCATCATGAATGAATGCATCGTGGAAATTGCTGTGCACTACAAATTAGCCCCCACTGAAAGCTGGTTATTAAAGCTTTACCAGCAGCCTGAGCCCGCGGGTTCGAGACCTGCCCGGGCAACTTGGTGAGACCTCATCTCTACAATAAATCAAAAAATCAGCTGGGCGTGGTAGCGCACGCCTGTATTTCCAGCTACTCGGAAGGCTGAAGGCGGAAGGATCGCCGGAGCCCAGCAGGTCGAGGCTGCGGTGGCCGGGAGCCGCCACTGCACTCCAGTCTGGGCGACGGAGTGAGACTCCCACTCAAAATAAATAAATAAATAAATAAAAATAAATAAAAGTAAGACTTTACCAGCACACCGCTGAATGTACATGACTTGGGAGTTGGAACGTGCAAAGTGACAGTGACCTATTTTCCTGCAGAACAGACTGCTCTCATTCACCTAAAATGCATACGTTGATCAGGTAGTTGCACCTAGGAAATTGTGACAGATTTTGAAATGAACATGGATCCAATTCTTATATCTTAGTGATGATCACATAGGTCCATGATCATTCATTTCCTGTGCCCTTAAATGTGACTAGCAACTTGCTTTTGTGTCATAGTGCTCAGTGGTGTTTGATGGATGACTGAAGTTAGTTGAACCAAATGTCTCATCTGATCTCCCCCTACTCTCCCTTTTTTTCTAACACGGGACCAAATTGTATTGCCCAGGCTGGAGTGCAGTGATGTAATCATAGATCACTGTAGCCTCCAACTCCCGGGCTCAAGCCATCCTCCTGCCTCAGCCTCTAATCCCCCTTTTGACTGGGGTCACCTGTTGAGCTAAAGGGCTTGGTCAGATTACACTAAAACACAACTGAAAACTCATTGTTTTCAGAGAAATTCTTTAGCAGAGGGAGAGAGTTTCTTCTTCAACACAGCAGTAATGTTTTGTTACGTTAGAAAAAAATTTATTCAACTAGTGAGGCTACAGATAAACCAGTTCCTCAAGCTTCCATATTTTGGTTCTGCTAAATGGGGATCTGTGATCCATCTTGAATTATGTTTTTGTGTATGGTGTAAGGTAGAGGTTGAGGGTGGTTTTTTTTTTTTTTTTGGAGTTGGAGTTGGAGTCTCACTCTGTCGCTCAGACTGGAGTGCAGTGGCATGCTCCTGGCTACCGCAACCTCGACCTGCTGGGCTCTGGCGATCCTTCTGCCTCAGCCTTCCATGTAGCTGGAACTATAGATGTGCGCTACCATGCCGGGCTAATTTTTGATTTATTGTAGAGATGAGGTCTCGCCAAGTTGCCTGGGTGGGTCTTCAACCGGCAGGTTCAGGCAGTCCACTCACCTCAGCCTCCCAAAGGTGCGGGATTGCAGGCTGAGCCACCAAGCCAGGCTTGTTGTTTTTTTAGAAACATAAATATCTAGTAGTTCCAACACCATTTATTGAAAAGACTTTCTTTTCTCCATTGAATTATCTGGGTGCCATGTTATTAAAAAATCAATTGACTATATGTGTGGATCTATTTCTGGACTCTGTATTCTCTTCCATTGTTATATTTGTGTATCTTCAGGCCAGTTCAACACTGTTGAATGCCATAGCTCTATAAGTCTTGAAATTAGGTAGCTGTATATTGCCTTGTAATAAGTCTTGAAATTCCTTGAACTTTCCTCTTTTTTCCTCCAAGATTATTGCAGCTGATTGTGGCAGTTTGCATTTTCCTAAGTGATTGCAGCAATATCTTAGATTCCACGTGGTCTTTTTGCAGTGTGACTTTGACACTCCTCTCAGCAAGAGGTGGGGTCTGTGTTCCCTCTTTATGAACCTGGGTGGGAGCTTGTGAAGGTTACAGAATGTGGTAGAAGTAACACTGCATTTGCTCTCTCTTTCTTGGGACAGTCATCTCCTGAACTCAGCTACCATGCTGTAAGGAAGCCTAGGCTAACCCAGGAAAACAGGCAGCCTGTATGTGTGAGTGCAGGGTTTTCAGACTCCAGCCTGTAAGTCTTCCAGCTAAAGCCCCAGACATCATGGAACAGAGACAAACTGTAATGCTGTGGCTGAATTCCTGATCCATAGAGTCTGAGAACTTAATAAATAATTGTCTTGCTCCTTGAAGTTTTGGAATAATTTGTTCTGCAGCCATGGTAACTGGAGCAATATTCTAGGTTGCTTTCACTTCTATATGAATTTTAGAACCTCCTTGTGAATGACATAAAAACCTACTTTTGATTAGAGTTGTATTGAATCTATAGATCAATATATGGAGAAAATGAACATCTTAAAAATATTGAGTCTTGGCATAGTACAGTGGCTCATGCCTGTAATTCCAGCACTTTGGAAGGCAGAGGCGAGAGGATTGCCTGAGCCCAGGGGTTTGAGACCAGCCAGGGCAACTTGGCAAGAACTCCTTTCTACAATAAATTTTTAAAAAGATTAGCTGGGCGTGGTGGCACACGCCTCTAGTTCCAGCTACTTGGAAGACTGAGGTGGAAGGATTGCCTGAGCACTCAGGTCGAGGCTGCAGTAGCCATGAGCGTGCCACTGTACTCCAGGCTGGGTGACAGAGTGAGACTCCAACTAAAAAAAAAATGGGATTAATAAGTAGTATTAATACATACCTTGTTCTGTGGATTTAATTGGATATACATGTTTATTGCCTGGCACAAGGCCTGGTAAATAGTAAGAAATCAATGAAACGTTCCCTCTTGTTTTATTTTATTTTATTTTTGAGTTGGAGTCTCACTCTGCCGCCCAGACTGGAGTGCAGTGGCTGCTCCCAGCCA